TTTAAGCCCCCTTTTGTACAATTTCTACGTTAGAGAAATTGACAATTGTCTTAGTGACAATTGCACGTTGAGACAACTTGCAGATGATGGCGTAGTGTCTATCACAGGGCCAAAAGAGGTTGACCTGCAAGGACCCTTACAGGATACCTTGGACAATTTGTCTACTTGGGCTATTCAGCTAGGTATCGAATTCTCCACGGAGAAAACTGAGTTGGTCGTTTTTTCTAGGAAGCATAGCCCAGCACAACCAAAGCTTCAACTTTTGGGTAAACCGATCACTCATTCCATGTCTTTTAAATATCTCGGGGTCTGGTTCGATTCCAAATGCACCTGGAGATCCCACATTGAGTATCTGAGACGAAAATGCCAACTAAGGATCAATTTCCTTCGATCAATTACTGGAACGTGGTGGGGAGCCCATCCACAAGATCTTCTGACGTTGTACCGGACAACGATTTTATCGGTTTTAGAGTACGGTAGTCTCGAAGTGCTGGCGGGCATGTTGCCACTATCCGTCCGTTTTTCAGAGTTATCTCTGAGGCTCCTCACCCGTTGCGAAGTAATGAACCCACTGGTGATCGAAAATTTTGAGAAGCTTCTGGAGCTAAATCCTCAAACATGTTTTATGACTTTGTACCAATCGTGTAATCTTCTCCGATTTCGGCAATTCAGTGAATTTTGATTTATCTATGACGCAGGAAATCCGCGGAATTCCAGAGCATCATCGTCCTATGATTGCTCCGTCATTATACGCTGCAAAGTTTGGCCATGTTGATTCTGCAAGAACGTTTTTCACAGATGGATCTCTAATAGAGGAGTCCGCTGGTTTTGGTGTATTTAATGAATTTCATAGCGCCTCTCGAAAACTTGAAGCTCCTTGTTCTGTGTATGTGGCTGAACTGGCAGCAATTCACTACACTTTGGAAACTATTGCTTCACTTCTTCCACACCACTACTTTATTTTTACGGATAGTCTCAGTTCTGTCGAGGCTATCCGTTCCATTAGGCCGGTAAAGCACTTCTCGTATTTTCTCTTGAAAATACGAGAACTGCTTAGTACTTTATCCGTGCGCTCTTTCATCATCACCTTCACGTGGGTCCCTTCGCATTGCTCAATTTTGGGCAATGAGAAGGCGGATTCACTTGCGAAGGTGGGCGCTATGGAAGGCGACATTTATGATCGACAAATCGCCTATAGTGAATTTTTCTCTATTTATCGTCAGCAGTCACTCGTTAGCTGGCAACATCAATGGAGTGAAGGGAGCTTGGGACGATGGCTACATTCAATTATCCCTAAGGTGTCGAAGTTTGCATGGTTCAAAGGGTTGGACTTGAGTCGAGACTTCATACGCGTGATGTCTCGTCTCATGTCCAATCACTATTGTCTAAACACTCACTTGTTCCGTGTGGGGTTGGGAGACAGCAATCTCTGTGAATGTGGACAAGGTTACCAGGACGCTGATCACATCCTTTGGTCTTGTGCAGAGTATCGTGGAGTCAGATCACATTTTTATGATTCCCTTCGGGCTCGAGGTAGACAACCTAATGTTCCAGTTCGGGATATTTTGGCTAGACGCGATCTGGAGTTTATGAAACTCATATATGTTTACTTTAAGGATATTAACCTTAGATTGTAAGTTTGATTAACCTGTGTTTAGTTTGTATTTTGTACGTGTGGGTTTTTTTTTCAATGTTTGTTTTCAAGATGAATAGAAATAATTTCATGCTTTAGGATTAATTAAATAGTTGTATCGTAAACCACATTTCAAACCTCCTTCTTCCCTTTTCCCATCCAAAAAATTGTAAATCTCCACTAACCTCGAGACAACCGCGAGTACTCGGTCCAGTTCCTTTAACTTTAAATTTAAGACAGTAATAATGTATAACGCAAAGGATAACTCGGCTCTGTAAAGTTTATTCGATTGAGCCTGTACAAATAAAGTAATTATAAAAAAAAAAAGTAATAATAACATTCGTTTGGTGCTAAACTGCGCTAGATTAAGAAAGACTAAGTGTGGGTTGAGCTTAATAGGCCGGAAATGGGGTAGTTAATCCTATGTTGTTGTTTTCAGAGGGTGGTGTAAAATAATAGAATCCAAAACTCGTTCGATCATACAGTGTTTAAGCTTGGCCTTTGGCTGGTCGGAGTTAATGATGTTACAATGGGTACAACGATACAACAAACACGATCGATCTTTCAATTTTTGAGCATGGTTGATCGGAGAGAATAACCAGTGAGCAGCAAAACAATGATAATAAAAAAAATAATAATTTCTAATTATCGTGCAGCTTGTGAATGGCAGCGAGTTTGTGAACATATGCGTGGAAACTTCTGGAATTCACACCATGGTATGATTTGGTGAGTTAATTTCTGTTGTAAAATTGTTATTGATTCCTGTTTGCTATCCATCGGGATGGCATCGATCCAGCGTGCAGATTTGGAAGTTGACCGATCATATTTTGATGTTTGTGATGATGATTTATTTCATGTAACCGGAGGTTAACCAGGTTCAGGCTGAAAGCCTCCCTAATAAAGAAAACTTAACTTAACTTATTTCATGTAACATAAGATTCACATCTTTTTAACGTAACAAAGTATTGAACAGCATTACAAGTCCTGAGAAGAGATCTTTTAACATTGTACTTGCCTGTTAAAGCAGGCTGGGAAACCACAAGCTGACCACAAACCCGGGACGAATGTGGTGAACACAGACAGCAAGTGGCAGGATTCAGTCAGAGATATTGAGATCCCCAGTGCCTTCTACGATGCATCCCAGGATCGAAGAAGGTACAGATGAGTTGACAAGTTCAGAGCTGAATTCACAGAGTAGCTATGGTGGTAAGAAGAAACGTCACGCAGAGCAGGGCTTAGATCTAATTTTAGGCCTAATAAGAACAACCCACCCTTTGCCTTTATTTTACGAGTGGACTTATTTCACAAAATTGAATGTTTTCTCTGCAAATAACTTCTAAATTTATTTACCTTTCCAGACGTACCGTAACATTTGCTAAAGAGAAACAAATTATTAAGATATTGTTAAAAGTCTAACACAGCTTGTTGACACCGAACTCGACCTACAGATACTTTTTTTTTTTTTTTTTTTTTTATTATAGTCACTTTATTATAGTGTTAACTCTTGGGTCATTCGTGACTTGTCCGGGGTTGAGATTTGAACTCGTGACATTGGCGTGAGAGGCCACTACGCCGAAGTCGCCCCCCTTACAGATTCTAAATTAGGCTTAATCAGCGAATCCAAACACATAAAGCAACCAACGATACAGACAAAACGGTTGCTACGGCTACCATGACAAACTCGCTCTGTAACATAGCTCGATCTGAGTGGTAGAAGGATAATGATATATTGCTTGCCTGCTTTGTTGCAATCGTGAAAAGACATAACAAAAAAATTCCCATTAACACACGTGTACCTATCATGTTCGGCTTTACATCGTGAAGCAGCTTGCCAACAATTTGCTCGTTTCCTTCTACCGCCCCGAGTGCGACAGCACGGGCTGCTTGTCATGAAAAAGAAGGAAGAAGATTATATCATTATTGCTTTGCACTTCTGACATAGCGTTATTATTCGGTTCGTTGATCGCTTGTCATTTTGTCACTTGGAGATATTTTTGATTCCTTGGGCCTAATGGATTGACACGCCATTCAAACGCCATTGAATTCACTTCGGCCTATCGGATGAAGATTAAAATTGATTCCTTCGGAGCGCTTTTTTTTGTTTTTGACAAAAATTGGTGCAAACATTCATCACACGTTCTCATTGACTACGTTCGGTAACTTTTGAACTAGAGTATCGCATAATTGACTTGTTAACTCTGAAACAATGGATTTTTTATGTTTTCTGCTCGATAGGCCCAAAATGGGCGATCAGACTGAAGTAGTCCTCTACCCTATGTCCAATCCTTAAATTGTACTGTTTGGAAGACCATTTGACATCCAAAAACCACATGAACGAGGCGACTATGTTGAACGATGTCTGCAAGCGGGACTGGGTTGAGAAGATCAGGGCTTCCAAAGAGCTTTCTACGGTGCGTCTCGGTTGTGAAGACATTAAATCGGCATTCTTTTTAAACTAATTTCTTAACCTTCATGGTTTCATCACATGGAATGCATTCAGTAGTTAGAACGAGAATGTCGTCCTCTGTTGAACTTGCTGCATATGGGTTCATAATCCTTTATTTAAGGGCACAACTTCCTTTATTTATGGTAAAATTGTCGTTTTTAAAGGAATTTTGTGTTCGTTTTACCTGTACAATTTTTAATTTTTAATGGGTATATTTTCCATTTTCTAGGGGTAACGGTGCTATTTCTTATGGGTATTTGGGAAAAATGTTAATGGGTGCATTTACACATTTTATGGTGCATTTTATTTATTTTAGGGGAACAATGACTTGTTGCCACTCGAAACCAGGAAAAGTAAGATTCTATTATAATGCGAATGTTTAATGCGAAAATATACATTCTGAAAAAACTTGTTTGTACCCTACAGCCCATTTAAAGAACTGTCATTTCATTTGTTGTATGAAAAAAGCAGAGGATGTAAGAAATCTACTCTTACATTCGATGTTCATGCCATTTGTTTCACGTGTAGGCACCCCCTTTAGCTATACCAATGACATCATACCTTTCTTTCACAACTTAAATAACATTATGCATGCAATCTTTAACAGCTGTGCTTCAATCGAGTGAAATAAGTCTCACTATTGACACAATGAATCATCATGTTTGTATTTGCACACGCACGTGCCTTTTTGTCTAAACCGCAATCACAAAGCCATAGTCGCATTAGATTGAATCCTCCCTATAAGCAGATTATCTCATCTCATCAAAAATGTAAATCATTTTCCCAGTTGATTGTTCCTTATAGCAATACGAAAATGATTTATTCGTTACGGCAAACTGCACCTATCAAAGGTTTGTAAATATTTAGATTCGCATAATGCTGATATGAATCGCAATGCAGTCAAGCGATCGATGAAGCAGCTATGCGATATTTCGTTAGACTAGATCTAGCTGTGCTCGTGTTAAGTAGTGACCCACGTGCTTCAACTATGGATGTTGCGGAAAAGTTCGAAGAAAACTCACCACTCTTGGTGGCCAACGGTTCGAGAAAAGTTAACCGGAATTGGTTTCGAAATGTAACTGTTGAACCCGTCGCTTTTCTGCATAGTTTCGGTTGGAGCCTTTCTGGTAGAAACCTTAGATTGTTCATAAACATATATCTAATCAGGTGTTTGCTTCAAAATTTATAGAGATCATGTTAACCAACCAAATAGTGTATCAATCTTGTGTGGTAACACTGGAATCGAACGAGACTGCTTGCTCTCTTTTAAAGAGTTCCGGAGTGTCGGACAATCAAACGATTGCGATTTATCTAGAAGAAAAGGTTCAACCATATGCAGCTACCATCTCTATGACTATTGTTTTGCTCACATCAGTTGTTCCTGCATTAGTTGCTCTGTTTCTTGGGCCATGGTCGGATAAGTTTGGCCGAAAGCCCGTCATAGCGATCGCTGCAGTTGGTAAAGTGTTTTTATCGTTGTGCAACGTTATATGACTGCAGTTTTGTTCCAGGATATATGCTAACAGAGATTCTGATCGCATGGATTAGTTACCTGTCGTCGTATTACGCTTTATCGCCGTGGTTGTATGTTGTGGCGAATATTCCTGTGGCAGTTTCCGGAGGATATTCAGTATTCAATGCTGGGATATTCAGCTACATGAACGATGTAACGAATGAGAATAACCGAACAATGCGCATGGGCGTCTTACAAGGATTCACCATGCTTGGAGTGCTTATTGGATTGCTAGCCAGCAGTTACATGGTGAAATTTGTAACAGTAACAACAATGTTTTCGATTTCAGCGGTAATCATGTTTATTAGTGTAATGTACTTAATACTAGTTACCAATGAATCTATCACAACGAATAATTTGCATTCAGCGATACAGCAACTGAAGGCGATCTTCAACGTTAACTTAGTCGTAGATATGCTACAAACGTTTTCAAAACCTAGGCCCAACTACGAACGAGCCATCACGTGGCTATTGATAATAGTTGGTGGCTTTGTAGAATTTGCCGTTGCAGGACGAACTCTGTTTTTTTTATATACAAGGCGGCAGTTCTGTTGGGATGCAGTATCGTACGGATTTTGGCTGTCTGCAGAACTTGGACTAATAATGCTTGGCAATTTGTTTGGCATTGCACTTCTCAAAAAACTATTCAATATTTCAGACTTAGGTCTGCTTGCTCTGTCCACAGTGAATCAAGTTGGAGATTACCTTGTCAAAGGATTTGCCCGGCAAGGTTGGCAGCTCTATTTGACCACTTTTATGACACCATTCAAGGGAGTGGATGGCGCTGCAGTTCGGTCTATTCTATCTAGCATTTTACCCAGCGATGAAATTGGCAAAAGTTACTCTATGGATCTTTCGGTGAAAGCGATCACTCCACTCATATCGGTATTCTTGTTTACTTACATTTATAACAGAACCATTGACAATGTTCCCTCAACGTATCTGTTTGTAACTAGTGCAATATTTGGAATAAATCTATTGCTCATTGGGTAAGCATCATTAATAATCGTTTGTATTGATATAACCAACTCATTCAATTTAATTGTAGAGTGACGCAGTATCTATTGAACAAACGAAACCAATCAATCATCAAGTTGTAGGTATCATATATCATATACTAAACCATCCTTTTTTTGTATACTTTGACTTTTTATTGATATCACATCAACCTATTTTCAATAATTTGTTAGTTAGAAGCCCAATTAGTTGTTTGTTGGATTGACCATCACACCCCGTTTAGCACATGGGCGTTTCATATACAGAAATTTGGCATGCGGGCTTAATGGACGTTTGGTTTAAATATGTTTCGCCGAATAGGCATAGGAAGAGGGTAGGCAGATAGTTTCGTTAGAGTACGGCAATTGTTATTCACGGCTAGCTCAGTATAATGGGTTTCTTTTCAGGGTCGGCTACATTCACTTGCTTCGGGAGGACATCACACATACAACCAATCAACATGAGAATAATAGGCGGAACAATACAGGACACCAAGACAGTCTCTCAAGAAAAAAAAGCACAAACACAGAAAATAAGCTTATTCATTATATAATTTTCAATTTAAAAGATACATCATAAAGGGGGGGGGGGGGGGTCGTTGTGGCCGATCAGGAAACGGTGGGGCCCATGCGTAGAGGGAGAGAGAGAAAGGGATTTTGTAGTTTGGTTACCTCTGATGATAGGGTGGTCAGCTACTCCAATCAGCACCCATGATCCTGGTCGTTGCGTAGATCCGTAGCTCGGCGTACCTTTTCGATGCTCCGACAGAGTAAGGTTTGAATAACCGACGTTCCACGCGCTCGCAGACGGGGCAGTAGCACATTGGATTTTGGGCCCTGGCAAGCGGGGGCGGACCCGCCAGACCTTACCAGACCCTCACCGCCACAGCTTTGGCTACTGCTCGCCCGTTGCGTGTGTCGTAGCAATGGCGGATACTCGCTAGACACCAGCGCGGGACTCGCCGATCCCCAACTCACTTCTTCCTGGATCGTGGTTAGAGCGCACGTGGGAACTATGGTCACCGTCTCCGTTTGCGGGTATTTATATGAAAATGTGCCAAGGGAAAATATTGATTTCAAATAATTATTTCTATATATATATATATATACTAACAAATCTAAGCTAATGAAAAAAAGGACCTAACCCTAACCTCAACTAATCTCCTTGTGTGCCTTGCCTTGAACCAGACTATTGTTCCCAAGTTGTTGGTAACACAGTATGAAATTTTGAATAGAAATTTCTATGGTTTATTATTCATAATATTCATAAATCAACTAATAAACGAGTGCACGGGTGAACTTTCGATCATTTACTGGAAAACATGACACAACAGCAGGGCCCTGTTTACTAATAATAAAAACATGAATAATACTCGCGTAACATTTGAAACGGGCACAAAACTTGTACTGCTCTTTTCGCTTGAACCGAATACGCCCACGCAAACTAACAACATCATCGGAAAAATCTCCCACTCCCGATAGTGCTGTTGGTTTGCGTGAGCGTACTTCAGTTCTCGTGAAAATGATCTAGCAAGTTGTTTACAAAAGTTGATAGGACCTATTCAAAAGTAACGTGAGCATTATTCGTGTGATTATGATTTTTAGTAAATGGCCCCGCTGGCGTGCCAATTTTTTTCAGTAGATGAACAAAAGTTCACCTCCACGCTTATTCTGGTCACCTCAAAATTGAGTCAAATGTACTCATCTCAGCGGCAAGTAGGGCTACTCAAAATTGAGCAGCATTATGTTGACTCACTTTTGAGTAAACGACGTTCTCGCGTAGACTGAGCCAAATCCACTCGCCGGTATTTTCAGTTGCGGGAGGGTTTTTGTTTTGATTTTTATTCAAGGAAATAGAAATTGGAAAATGGTTCAACACCGTTTCCCTAAGCAATTCGTACTTACCTGAAGGCATTCCAGCCGGTTTTGAGTAACATTTTTTATGAGGATTCCTCCGACATGACTGGCATTTTTTCCAGGTCCAGGATTTTGCAGACTGAGTGGTTTTTACTCAGTTTGACATTTCTCGTTTACTCAATTTTTGACAGCTCGATATATCGGACGAAAATGAGTACGATCGACTCACCTGGTGAGTAAGCAGAAGTTAGCGTGTATGCACTCGTCTATAAGCAGATTGTAAATGTTAATTTCGCATATCCACATATATACGAGTAGCATATCAGCAGGGCCCTGTTTACTAAAAATGAACACATAAATAATACTCACGTAACATTTGAAACCGGCCAATCAACTTTTGTACACAAAACTTGTTAAGCCCTTTTCGTGCGAACGCCCATGCAAATTAACAATACCATCGCGTACGGAAAATTCTCCCATTCCCGATAGTGCTCTTGGGTTGCGTGGGCGTACTTCGGTTCTCGTGAAAAGGACCTAGCAAGTTGTTTGCAAAAATTGATAGGTCCATTTCAAATGTTACGTGAACATTATTCTTGTGCTCATTTTGCTGTTGTATCAATTTTTTTCTGTAGATGAACAAAAGTTCACCAGTGCACTCGTCTATTAGGTTCTGCACCGTCGCGGTTAACCTCAATCTGATGACAGTTCAGTGCAGAGATGCCAGATTTTTTTTAGAAGTCTGCGAAAAATGTCTGTAATTGGGCGGCATAAGATTAGCAGAATGTTTGTGTGTGACGGGGGTGGTCATGAAATAGATGCGAAATTTGAATGTCAGTAAAAGTCATGTTCGAGCAAAAATCACCTGCTCTTAACGAATTGAACCTAATTGGAGTTGCATCTAATTTTATTTACGCTGTATACGTTAAAAGCAATTAATAAAAAGATAAATTACGATTACACCACACACAAGGTCGACTCAAAGTTGAGATTAGTTCACTCATATTCTTTAAAACGTAGTGAACTCGTAGACTGAGTAAAACTTTCCGAGCATTTACAGGATTTTTTGACGTAGAACTACGTCTTTGTCGACTATACTGGGGTGCAAATCAAAAAAATATTTGTGGTGAAGGAGTGTTAGGTTTTGAACGCTTGTAACTTTGTCATTTATAGATGAAATTAAAATCCAAATACGCCAATCGATAGGATATTACATTACGAACCTGTTGAAATAAATATTTTTTCAATTTTTCTGTATTTAAATTATTGAAAATGTACAAATGATAATTTTATCACTGTTTTCATGAAATAAGCCTTTTTTCCAAACCCAGTCATCATAAACGAATACCACTTGGTTGCACATCATTCTGTTTGAACCTGAAAAGATATAAATCAGCGCTGCTCTCATGCCCCTGCTCATTATCGCTTCGGACGGCGTGGCACTAGGTCCTGCTGTAAGCAGGATCAAATAAGCGGCTAAATGTGGATCACGGCGTGACCACAATGAGGAAAAGTAATGATGTAAACCCCCTCCCCCTTTCACAACAACCTTTACCCCTCCCCCCTTCACAACAATCTCCCCCCCCCCTCTAAAACCTCTCCTAACCCCCCCCCCCCCAACTCATCAACAACCTTTCCTACCCCCCCTACCCCTCAAATACCTCTCCTAAACCCCCCCCACCCCGCAACAATAACCAGAAAAAGACATGGACCTTGACGATCACTTTTTTCCAGGAAATAAATCAACAAAGCCCAATTCTTAGTAACAACAAGTTTTTCCCTTAATTTCTTCCCACACCGAAACTTTCAAATTTGAACACAAATTGCTTGAAAGACATCCCAACAAACAATTTAAGTTGATCAAAAGCTGAATAAGCCATTTTTTAGCTGAATAAGCTTATTTTTGCCTGAATAAGCTCTTATTCAACATGCAATGTTTGTTGGGATGTTCGACGACACTCAGTTGGTGAATTACACACAACTGACGGTGAAACCTATCTGGTGCCTCTATATAAGCAATTATATTACAATCCACTTTACTTACTTTAAATGATCTATATTTCTTGAATTTGTGTGGTTTACATGTATTACTTATCAAGTGACACAGATGCGTCTTTTCAACTTTAATTCCTCTGAAATTTCAATTATTATTAATTACAGTTCCTAGTCCTATCAGGCCTGTTTTAAGAACGACCACCTTGGTGGGATTGGTTTGTTTTAAATTTGAAAAAGGAGACTACTTATAACTACTATTTACAACTATAACTAACCTACAACTACTATATACACCTAATCTACTATATACTAATTGCTTATCAAAGCATGTTCTGATAAATTACATTTTTGTGCAAATTTAGTCTTAATTTCGTTAATTCGGGAATCTATTTTGGCAATGCCTGCCTCTTCATGTAAATTTGTTATTCTAGTGTCGAAAGGACGATCAAGAACCATCCTCAGCACTCTATTCTGAGCGATTTGGATTTTGTTCCTGTGAGTCTGTGCACATGATTCCCACACCGGAGCTGCATAGAGGATCGCAGGTGCTATGATTTGTTTGTAGACGGCCAGTTTGTTCACCCTTGAGAGGCGGGATCTGCGGCAAATCAGCGGATACAGACACCTAACCAAGGTAGAACACTTGACTACAGTTTTCTCTACATGCGAACGGAAGAGGAGCTTTTCATCGAACAACATCCCGAGATAGGTTACTTCGGCAGACCACTCAACCCTTGTGCCATCCATGATTACAGTACAAAATGGAGCCGGTTTTAGTTTGGGCGATTGCCAATGGAGGAACATGATCACTTGTGTTTTGGAGGCATTGATTTTGATTTTCCACGTGGTGGCATAATCAGCAAAGGCGTTAAGGCATCGTTGAAGTTTGTTCGTTATTTCGCGAGGCATCCTTCCTTTGACGGCTATTGCGGTATCATCTGCGAACAGGAAAAACACGCAACCGTCACCGAGGGGAGGAATGACGGAAGTATAAATGCTGTAAAGCAAGGGGCCCAGCAGACTGCCTTGCGGCACTCCTGCTGGGATGGAAAACGTGTCTGAAAGACAACCATTCAACGATACCTTAAACGACCTTTGCTGGGGGTAGTTACGGGTAATTTTAACCAGATGTAAAGGAAAGTTGAAGTTACAAAGCTTGTACACAAGTCCATCATGCCAAACATTGTCAAACGCCTTTTCAACGTCTAACAAGGCCATGGCTGTGGACTTGGATACAGCTTTGTTACTTCCGATGTTATTCATCACCCGTACTAGCTGG